ATCTTCTTTCTGACTGAAACTTATTTTCTGAAGAACAGAACTTCCTCAATCTCCAATATATTTGTGGATGTAACTGTGAATTTGTAGACACAATGTATTTGTCTCTGCTCCCTAAGAATGCAGAACTAGATAAGTACTGCTTATTGATGTAAGGTTTATAGCACCCCACCAGACATGTCTTCCAAAGGTATATTTCAAAGACAGTGATAAGAAACATTCTGCAAGTTCTTTCTACTATTGAAGCCTCTTTCTATATTACTCCAAGCACAGCAAAGAAAGAAGAAAACAAAACAGAAGTTGCATCTAAAATAGGATGGTAAATAACACCAAGATACTGTGTGGGATGATACAGACTCCTCTCATCGTAGAATCACAGCCTTGCCAATACCTCATCATTTGAAAAATTTCTCTTTTGTTGCTGGTTCTGTGTCAGGTTATGACCAAAGAGAACTGTTAAAAATTGCTATATTTTTGAAATAGTTAAAGTGATGACCATAAAACAAAGAACTCCTTAATACCGAATTAAATTAAAAAAAGAATAAAAATTTGGTTAATTGTAACCTCAAGAAAGTATTAGTCATTGCTTCTGACATAGTCAAAAATATAAAATACTAGAATCAAGAATCAGCTGCAAGATATCAATATAGACACTGATTTTAGGGAACAGGGTAGGATTGAAGATATTTAATATGAATATTGTGATGTTCTTATGTAGAATAAAACATTCATCTTTTGGCATATCTTTAATAGGCTCCAATATTACAAATACTTCAGGAGTCTTTAGTAACAGGTAATTCAGAGATTTGAAAACTTTTACTTGACCAAAAGGAAATGCGATAATTAGCATCACAAATTCATGGCTTGTAAGTTTACTATTTCCATGTCCATGCGTTTAGGAGAGTAAAACCCATTTTATGGTCTTATCCATCAAGGTACAGGAAACATTTCAAATGTAGGTCCTAGGCTTAGAGAAACCAGCCATCATTTTATTTTCTCTTTGTTTTCTGTAAAATTTACTCTCATTTAACTAGAATCAATTATTTGAAACCTCAAATATATGGTATTATTTTTATATTATACACTTTGTAAGGTCAAGAAATAAGCTTGTTGTGAATGTGTTAGTCACTTAGTCATGTCTGACTCTTTGTGACCCTATTGACTGTAGCCTGCTTCTGTCCATGTAATTCTCAGGCAAGAGTAAGCTTAGTCCAGATTAAACACTGTACTTTCATAAGCTTTATATTTCCACTCATGAGTTCAGGGCACATAAAATGAATTCACAATCCAAGAAGTCTCTAATAAGAATATCTTCCCTATCTCCATAACAATAGACACTGCTGCCTTTAAGGTAATCTAACTTATATGCATGGAACAACAGACTAGTTCCAAATAGGAAAAGGAGTACGTCAAGGCTGTATATTGTTGCCATGCATATTTAACTTATATGCAGAGTACATCATGAGAAATGCTGGGCTGGAAAAAGCACAAGCTGGAATCAAGATTGCCGGGAGAAATATCAATAACCTCAGATATGCAGATGACACCACCCTTATGGCAGAAAGTGAAGAGGAACTAAAAAGCCTCTTGATGAAAGTGAAAAGAGTGAAAAGTTGGCTTAAAGCTCAACATTCAGAAAACTAAGATCATGGCATCTGGCACATCACTTCATGGCAAATAGATGGGGAAACAGTGAAAACAGTGTCAGACTTTATTTTTCTGGGCTCCAAAATCACTGCAGATGGTGATTGCAGCAATGAAATTAAAAGACGCTTACTCCTTGGAAGGAAAGTTATGACAACCTAGATAGCATATTTAAAAGCAGAGACATTACTTTGGCAACAAAGGTCCATCTAGTCAAGGCTATTGTTTTTCCAGTAGTCATGTATGGATGTGAGAGTTGGACAGTAAAGAAAGCTGAGCGCTGAAGAATTGATGATTTTGAACTGTGGTGTTGGAGAAGATTCTTGAGAGTCTCTTGGGCTGTAAGAAGATCCAACCAGTCCATCCTAAAGATCAGTCCTGGGCGTTCATTGGAAGGACTGATGCTGAAGCTAAAACTCCAATACTTTGGCCACCTCATGTGAAGAGTTGACTCATTGGAAAAGACCTTAATGCTAGGAAGGATTAGGGGCAGGAGGAGAAGGGGGCGACAGAGGATGAGATGGCTGGATGGCATAACTGACTCAATGGATGTGGGTTTGGGTGGACTCCGGGAGTTGGTGATGGACAGGGAGGCCTGGAGTGCTGTGATTCATGGGGTCGCAAAGAGTCGGACATGACTGAGCGACTGAACTGAATTGAACTGAACTTATATTCATAATAATGACTTTTTACTTTAAAAAAAAAAAGGCTAAAGGAAATCAGCATATTTCTTATCTTGTTTGTGATCTGGCTATATTTTTCAATTTTTATCAGTCAATACAGTAACTGAGCAGGACTCTATCAGGCCTTCCTAGAACATACCCCTCCCTGCACATCCTGACCATGTCTCATATTTTTAGAAAAGCTATAGTTTTCCAGGAGTGCAATGAATCAAAAAAGTCTGGCTCAAGAATTAGTGTGTGAAAGACTGTGAACATGGAGGTAGGCAGGAGAACTAGTAAGAAAAGCAGTCATATGACAGTCACAGAATCTTTAGTTCCTCCCTTAAGGACAGAGAAAACAGTGTCTGACGCATGCTCCTGAGTTGTTTTACAGTTGCCAAAACCCCCACCAAGTGGAAGAAATTAACTTCTTGATGACCATGAGCAGTTAGGTCTGGGAGCCTTAGGAATGATAATGCTAACTGCGGTTTTAGCACCCTGTCACCTCATCATCATCCAACCAGAGAATTTTGCAGAGCTGATCACATACCCTGTGACTACCTTTCCTCACTGTGCTTTAAAAATGCTTCCCTGAAACCTACTGAGCTAGAAATTGTGAGACAGTCAGTGTATGACTCTGAGACCTTGGTCTTGTTTTCAATAAACATCTCACTCCATTAACCTAAAACTATACCCTCTTTCCTGAATTCCTGGAATTTGTCCTTGGTCTGATAAAGTATCAACACTCAGATCCAGGAAAAGGAAGTAATTAACTTCTGTTCCATATTCCCTAGGGAAAGACAACTGGTGCTCATTAATCTTTAGCCCACATATCTGATTCCTTGTAAAATGGCCAGAGGGCATGAAAAAGGGTGGCAACTTAATCCGAGGATCAAGAGAATTCATAAAGATGTTAAGTTAAACAGTGACCTTTAAACTGACTGGTTAGAAATGACATATTTTAAGGACAGGAGCCAACCAAAAATGTACAGATCAATACTAGCAAGCATATAAACTGCTGTAAGTCCCGCCTTTTGGGGGACTCTTTATTCCCTCTCAGTGTCTATGCTGAGAGTTTTATACTTTTCTGTAAAATAAATCCTATTTTCTTGCTACTGTGAGTGTTTGCCCGTTTGTAAAGTTCATTCTTCGGCTCCCGATTCCCATTTCACTCTCTGGGACTTCAAGTCTTTTGAGCATTAGCTGCCCTGGACTTCTTATATGGTGTCTTACAATAAGCACTGCACTTTCCTTCACCACAGCCTGGTGTCAGTAGATTGGTTTTACTGATCAGAGACTAGTGGATTTAAGTTGGGTTTAGTAATAATACTGCACCAGTAACTACATAAAATAAACCATAATTTCAGTGTATTTTAGAAAGTCATATGGTAGGGAAATAGGTAAAAAGACATAACAGCAAGGGATAATTGGAGACCAGCTAATGGTTATTTAATTTTAGAAGAATATTTAATATACCTAAATTCCATCTTCTCTTCACATTAGCAGCTCTTTCTAGTACAGCTTCATTCATAAGAATCTAAACCTTCAGCATTCTTTCATGTAAAAAGAGAGAGTAAAGTGCATATTTCTGCTTTCTATTTAAGCATCTTTATAATGGTATAAAGTGTCACAGTTCTTTTTTTTTTCTTTCCTTTTTTGTGTTTTTTGTAAATCATTCACAGATCCTTCTCAGTGAATGTCATCAAAGTATGTATTTCTTTTGCCAATAGTGAAGAAAAAACTATACAAACAGGTCTGTACCTTTGAATCATCTTTAACACCATATTTAGATGAATCTACTTAGCATTTATTGCTAGGCACAACAATTAGCATCATGTGATGTATTGCTATAGCACTCTATAATGGAGGTAAAACAATCATGATTTTCTGATGGATGCTGGCGTGGGAAAAGAGAAAAGACATAGGTGGAAATGGGCAATGAAAATAGCTCATTCTCAAAGTCTGATGGCACTTAGGAGATTCTACATATTAAATTTACATATACATCTCTCATTGACAAAATGTTCATGTTAAAGCAGACAAGTTGTCACAGAAATCTGAGCTGAAGAGCAAATATCTGACTCTCTGCAAGGTGCATATATTTATAATACAGGTAAGCCAGTTTGTAAAATCCAAGTTTTCTATCCAAAAATTTACAGATCATTTTAAATTTTCTAAATATAATGACAAGTAATAAAGTGGTTGGAAAGTCAAGCTTGCTTTAAATTCACTAGAAAGAGTATTTTTTAATGGATTTTTTTCCTTTTCAAGGAAAGAGGTCTCATTAGCTGTGACTAAAACACAGCTGTGTATGATATAAGGGTCCTTTGAACAAGTCTGTAAAGGAAGTTAGGATTTAAGAAAGCTTACTGATTTGGTTAACAAAGTGCTATTATTGTTGCTAAGTGAAAATAAACTTAAGAGCCACTTCTAGTCTTGCCCCAGACTTTGAGCCATTCTTGAAGCTTCAGCACACTTGGCCACATTGCACTGCAGTTTTCTTAAATGGGCTGGATAATGACAAACAGGTAAGGAAAAGGCAAAGAGAACCATTTACTACAAACACATTGTAGGTAATATACAACAGTGGGGATTGCATATTGACCTTAGGGCATTTCGTCTCAATCAGCATGCCATGCTACAGCACAGAAACACACTGTCATGTTTACAACACAGAGCTGAATATAAGAGACTCACATAATTGCCTGCGAGAAGGTACAGGAGCACTTCCATAAGCTGTGCCCTGTAAATAAAACACATTTTTTTTTTTGGAGCAACTGAGCATTAGTACCAGTAGAATATGGTGAAGAAATGAACAAAGAAAATGAAAAGAAATTCAAAATAAAGACAGTTTAAGATGCTTTTATTAAATAAGGTTTTGAGTTATTCCATTTGGTAAACATAAAGATCAAAATAAATATTTGTAAGAAATTAAGAAAAGATATGTAATACACTAAAAAAAAAAGTAAAATGAATATTACAGCAAAAGATAGGAATAATTAAATTTGACAGAAAGGGAGGTTTGTGAAATGTAGAACACACATGATATTTATGAAGTGGCCTCCTTAAAAAGTAGGTTCCCTTGCACCAGTTCCTTAGCTGATGAAAACATTTTCTCTAATTCTTAAACTAAGCAGTGTGTTAGTATTTCCTCTGCTATTTTTCTACCTCAAACTATATAGAAAAATAATGGCTTCAAATAAAACGGCTCTAATCTATGCATCAATAAAAGTTAATCACTGAAAAATAGCATAATCAGAGAGAATTTATTAAATAAAAATAGTAATTGTATATGATAGGCACCAAAGTTAGAACAACCTTACTATATCCCTCTAGTTGACTAAACTCTGTACAAAAACTTATTGTAATTCAACTTGTATATTTTTATTCCTGGCACTGATCTCTATCACAAAATGATATTATAATGTACTCAAAGAGAGGTTTTAAAATATTAGGTAAAAATAGATTTCTATGAAAATCAATAGTTCATTATAAATATAATTAACAGATGATGAGAATATCTGAGAAAGATTAACTGATATTTATTGAACATTTATAATGAAGTTCTTATGGTTAGTATATGATAAGCATTATCTCAGTTTCCACAACAGTCTTTGAGGCAGTTAAAAATTTTACCTTTATTTATTATTATTTCCATTGTTTCTGATGAGAAAACTCTTTGTAGAATCAAGTAACTTTTAGACTTAATTTAGAAGCAGTTAAGAAGCTATAGTTTTTAAAGGTCACACTGCTATACTGAAAATAATTAACAAACAAGGACCTGCTATATAGCACAAGGAATGCTGCTCGATATTCTATAATTACCTAAATGGGAAAAGAATTTGAAAAATAATAGATACATGTATATGTATAACTGAATCACTTTGCTGTAGACCTGAAACTAATACAACATTGTTAATCAACTATGCTCCAAAAAAAAAAAAATCTAGTGGAGTAATTAAAATGGAGGATTTACAAAATAATCCCTGCTGCCGGTGTTTCATGAACTTATCTTCTAACAAAAACAGCAAATGTGAATATTATGACCTTGGTTTGTATAAAGGTATACCAAAGAGAAAACTATCTTATAAAGTGTCTGCATGCTTGCATTGATGGATGATTAATAAGACATTCAAATCTGCTGCTTAAATTTTCTTTGTCTAAGAATATGTTTGTATCTCTGGATCTACTGAGGAAGACACATGACCTTTTCCTGGCTCTAGCAGGATTTGCCTAGGGTAGATTTAAATACATTTTGTCCTGGATGGAGATTCCTGAGTTAATTTCATCAAAAAATTGCAACCTACACTTCAAAGAAACCACAGTACTCCAGAAACTTGCTATAAAGACTCAAGTGTGAACTGTTAGTCATTCACTCCCACATACTGAACAACACCAAGTCAGAATCTTCTAAATACTGTTCCAGTTTTGCATTCTGGGATGGACTAATGTTATACCTGTGTTAGTCAAATAGAACTGAATGCAAGAAAGATTTCAGAGAGAGATCTGCCTAAATCTCATAGATCCTTAGCTATATAGACATAGGTTTGAATCAAGAGCACAAGATCATTATTCACTATGCAAGGTTGATTAAAAATACCATCATTACTTGTAGCAAAAATTTATCATTTGTGAGAAGTGTATTGTTTTTGTTCTTTGCTTTTACAATTTTTAATGAGTTGCCTCAAGTCCAGGTGATAAAAAAAAAAAAAACTCTCATTTTTTTCTTATAAAGCTGGATTATTTTCATATTAGAAACTAAAAACAACATTAGCTGTCTGTATATTAGAAAAATATCTCCAAGGTTTACAATATGTTAGGACTGATCTTTATTAGATATATAATTAGAGGAAGATGTGTATTCAAATTTACTCCTATAATAATCCATGAACAGACCACTGGAACAAAATCTACCATATGGAAAGGTACTATATTAAGACTCTGATTAGAGAAACCAGTTTCTTAATTTCTAAAACTTCTAGTTGCTATGATAAATGGTGGGTAAGGTCACAATTAGGTTAAATGCAGAGTAACTCAATAGAATTCTGAGGGAGAATTCCTTGGCTTTAAGTTTTTATCTGACTGGCTCCAAGCAATTTATTGTATGATACTTCTTTAATTTCAGTGACAAACTTGATGTTATGTGGTACACATATATTCTCTGGTTGTCTCCGCAGATCACAATTCTCCCCTCAATTTGCCTATTTCTACATCAACTAAGTTTCTTTGATCGCACTTTGCTAGGGTGACTTTTGTATTTGTATTTTTCATCACACTTTTCAGAGTCACTTAGTTATATGTTTATGCTCAATAGAATCATTCAAAAAAAGATTTTAGTTTTTAGGGTAGTTTTAAGCTCACAGGAAAACTGAATAGAAGTTATAGATTCCCCCATAAGCCCTGCCCCTAGACATGCATACCCTCTTTCACTATCAATATCAGCCACCATAAGGGTGCATTTGCTATAATTGATAAACCTACACTGATACATCACTATTACCCAGAGTCCATAATATACCTTAGGGTCCACTCTCAGTGTTGTATATCTACCGTTTTATAGATACACATTTATGATGTATATCTACCATTTTAGTGTCACACAAGATAGTTTCACTGTCCTAAAGCTCCTCTATATTCTGCTTATTCATTCCTCCCTCTCCCCAGTCCTTAGCAACAACTGATCTTTTCACTAATTTTTCCAGAATGTCACATAGTTTGGATCATATAGTATTTAGCCTTTTCAAACTTATTTCTTAGTAATATGCACTATGTTTCCTCCATGTCTTTTCATAGCTTGATAGCTTATTTCTTTTTAGCATCAAGTAATACTCCATTGTCTATATGAACCACAATTCACCTACTGATGATTGCTTCTAAATTTTGGAAATTATAAATAAAGTTAATAAATATCTATGTGCAGGTGTTTGTGTGATATAAGTCTTCACCTCATTGAGGTAAATACCAAGGATGGTGATTGGTGGATTGTAGAGTAAGAGTAGGTCTTACTTTGTAAGAAACTGCCAATCTGTCTTCCAAAGTGGTTTTATCTCACAGAATCTTTTACAATTAAAAATGCTATCATATGTCAGCAAAGAGACCCAATATAGACAAATTTATTTTCTTTAATGAAATGCCACATCAATAGAGTACATTTCCAAGGTCTTCATTTATTGGACCCAGGCTTTGGAAATTAATATACATGTATCAGTTAAAAACAATGGAGAGAAAATGTCACAAATTTTAATTTTTTACTTTTCAAGTAATGCTTGAATTGCATTAACAAATGATCAGAAATTACCCTAGGAAAACTAAGCACTGTCAAAAGAGTTAACATGCTTAGGAAAACTGCTTGAAGTGAAGTGAAAGTCACTCAGTTATGTTTGACCCTTTGCAATCCCATGGACTGTAGCCTGTCAGGCTCCTCTGTCCATTGAATTCTCTAGGCAAGAATGCTGGAGCGGGTAACCATTCCCTTCTCCAGAGGATCTACCCAGGGATCAAACTCGGGTCTCCTGCATTGCAGGTAGAAACAATGACTAAGTCTACATTATCGAGTTTACCCACATCAATTTCATTCTGATCTGCTTTCTTTCTAAAAAGTCGATTGAAAAAAAATAAAATGGCCAAGCCAAAAAAAAAAAAATCATCTATAATTTGAAACTATGAATTGAAGTAACACAAAAATAATTAAATGTAACAATATACCTCCTTTTTCCTCTGGAAATACTTGGTAAATACAGATTATAGTCCTAGTTCAGAACACCAAGATCAGAAGGAGAAATATACAATCTGATCAGGGTAAGAGTCAATATCATTTTTACCTGAGCTAAATGTTAAAATGATATCTCAAGCATAATTCAATAAAAATTTAGAACTTACTAGCCCCAGGCATGCACATCAAACAGCTAAATAGAGCAAGACATGGAATAGAACTTTGAATAAGAAAATTCTTAAATAAACCTGTATCCAAAAGCCTTGTGTTCAGTGTTTTTCAGAATTATTCAGAATATGCAAAATAATACCCCAAGCTAAGTCTAAGGCTGGAGTAATCAAAGATATTAATATTTCTCTAGGAAAAATATAACTCCACTATGACTTTTGAAAATTATAAACAGCCTCTTGTCAATTTAGATCAGACTAGATTTGATTACCAAATAAATCAAAGAAGGATTTTAAGTTTTCAGGGAATTTTTGTTTGCTTGTTTGTTATTTTGGATCTCAGAATTGTAGATAAAAGATTAAAGGCCTATAAAATTATTTAAAATTACATAATTAGAACCTATGGGAGCATGACATTTTTATAAAATTAGAATTTCTGGCTCTACCTTAGATCTTCTTAAAGTTTTCTTTGTAATGAAATAATTTAAGAAACAATTAGCTGTTCAAGAAAATACTTAAGACTTGTTTAAGACTTGCACATTTATAAGAATGCTCAACTTCAACTTCTAGAATGAAGTTGATAAAGGAAAATTTGACCTTGGTCCCATCACAGTACATACATGCGGAAACAGCAGGATTTAGTTAATATAACCATTTTAAATGTTGTGGAATAATGTGATTTTAAATGAAAACAAATATTTCTGAAAAACATACAAATATTTCTACATGCTTTCTGTATTTTTGGTGGAATTACCATTTTAAACTTATAAGAATAATGTTTCAGAACTACATTTAATCACTAAATAACAGAGATGTGATCATACTTCAGGAAATATGTAGATTGCAAAATGCT